GCAGGGTACGCTGCTGTCCGTTTCGAAATTTCAGCTGCACGGCTGGAGACGCAACCCAAAGTCGTCGGCAGAGCCGCGCAATCTTAGCGAAGTGTTGCCGGGACTGCTTAGTCACCGCGACCGCACCAGAGCTGAAGCTCATGGTTGTGAACTGAATTGTATTGGTGGACATCCAGCATCGTGTCTGGTAGGGGAGTTCTGGCGCTGTGTGGTCGTCATCCATGTTCGTGGCAAAAGAGTCCAAGGCATCTTTCAAGGCCAGAAGTTGTGGGCCGGCCAGCCGGTGCCAGAACTGAAGAATGTTGTTCAGGGCAAACTCACCAATGAGATGCAGGCTGGCAAGTCCATTGGCCAGAGGACTGATCTGGACGACGGTCCCAGGGTCATGGAGTCCCATGAGGACTGCTTCTTCCAAGCGCCGCCACTCAGGCTCAGAGAAGATCATACACAAGTACGAGTTGAAGACTTGTTGCTTGCTCGGCTTCAACAAACTCAACTCGGTGGTCACCTCTCCAACCATCTCAACTGTCGGGCAGCGTTGAGTGAAGTCCTCGATCTCCTGGCAGTTACGGAGAAAGTTCTCGTGGTCTAGCGCCCACTGCACGACCTGCACCGTTCGGATCCGCCCAGCCAGTGTGGCCAGCCGAAGCCAGGCACGAACTCCACCGCGCTTCACCAGCAGTTCCCCCAGCGCTGAGTCACAGCACTTGTCTTCCACCGGGTGGAGCTGCATTCCAGCTGCGATTGCTGGCAACCTACAAGCACGCTTGGCCACCAGATCTTTGGAATCTTGATGAAGGTCACGCGGGACCTCGGACACGGCGAGCTGCATCTGGCCGAGGGGGGAGTGTGAACAACCACTTGAAAAGCTCTTGGATGAAGCACCGGTCAATGTGGTCTAAGTTGTCGAGCTCCGTACTGTTAGTCCACGTGAGCTTCAAGTGTGTCAACGGGGAGCCGACTTGCCTCTGCTCATCGAGCGCCTCGCGAAGCAGCATGTAGCCTGCCAAGAAGCCTGCCTGTTGAGTTTCCAGTGGCAGCGTCCGGTTGGAAGATCGACGGCCCGTGGGGTCCATGAATGCTCGAAAGGCAGCCTCGTAGTATCCACGATCATGCAAGTCGCGCAGCTGCACGAGTTCCTCTTGCGAGGGCGCTCGAAAATGCAGTTGCCGGGGCATGGCAACGTGAGCGGTCACAAGATTGCGCAAGAAGTTCCAGCGTGTTCTGCTGGAACTGTGTCTGTGTCTTGAGACCTGGAGTGGTCAACAGCAGTTGAAAGAGACCTTGAATATTCTGTCCTGTCCCTTGACGGGAACGCATTGCTGACCATACACCACACCAGCATCTGCGAGCACGTCTCTCCACGCTTGTATGCAAGCGTCAGGCACTGTGACACGATCACCATATAATCCCGAGTACCTATACCTATTTAAAATCGGACCCCTATTGAAATCATATCAGAAACCCTGGATGATTTTTTTGTTTAAATTAGGTTCCAAGAACAACCGCAACTACCCACCTCGCTCACCTCTGTCCGCCCTGTCTATATCCACCATGACAGGCCGTGTTTACACCAGCAGGTTTTTTCTTCTCACAATAGCATGGACTCAGGCAAACGCACGTGCCACCGAGGAAAGCTTTAATTGTTAGTTTAATGTAGAATCACTATTCTAATCGTTTGTAGGGGAAAAGGAAGACCTTTCGATCTGATGTTTTTTTGAATTTTTGATATGAGTTTAAAATAGAAGGATTTTATATAAAACTTTTCTGAGTGACTTTTGGGTTTTGAAGCTCTTCCCAGGTGACCCTATTTTGGACTCCCCCGATGGCAGGGAACCCCGATTTTTAAAAAAAATGCGACCGAAGTTTCCTTATTAGAGGAGGCCTGGCATGTTTTTTTAATGGGTGGATAGGATTAATACACCCTCACAAAGCAGAGATCGAATCATGATTCGCCAGCACCTCCGTTCATGATTCGTTACCCCTTCTTTTAGGCTGCCCGCAAGATTGGAAATGCTGGAGATGCCTACGGATAAACAAGCATTTCTGACATAACCACCATATACAGCATTTTCAAAAAAGGAGGGATCGAATCATGATTGGCCAGCACCTCCGTTCATGATTCGTTCGTCCCTTTTCCTCCCCATCCTTCGCCAGCCTCGGCGGAGAACCATCCCGCTCTTGCATGGATTAGAAAAAGATTTCTGAGATTTCTGTAGACCTTGACCATGCACATGTGTCTCGCTCGTCCCGGCTGGGCAGAAAATGTTCCGCCCCGAACCACCCATCCGTCCGGCGAGCGATGCCGTGACGCCTTTCTCCAAGCCACGGAAGGCCAGGACACCGTCGGCCAGGCCGATGCTTGGCCAGAAGCACCAGGGCATTCTGCAACGACCAGGCCGGAGCCTCCTGGTGTTGACACTGTTGGTGTTGCGGGTGCTCTTCAGGCGCGAAAAAGGGAGTTCCAACACCGGGGCGACATGGTGCTGCAAAGATTACACACTTACCTTCACCCTACAGTGCTCCTCTCAAGAATGCGAAGGAATGGCAGGTCCCGTAGATCGTACATACCCCTCTGGAAACCTCCACTTGTTTTGAGAAAGGAGGCTGACATCACGGAATAGTTCTCCAGATTCAAAAAAACACATTGGAAACATTTATTGATTGAACATCTATCGATAACTTAAAGGTCAAAAAA